TTTTAAATAAGGACTAATATACTTTTCAAAATAATTAATGAAATTGTTTATAATTACAGTCTGTCAAAAGTAATACCTATGACTATAAATTTTCCCAGTACCTATTCATATTTTAAAGTTTAAATATCAGTGGTTGCACTTAAAATTCAACTTGACGTATATCATATGTATGTATTTATATTATATACATCAGTATAATTAATATATATATTTTATATATAATATAATATTACGTACTATTATGCATTACATTATTATTTTAAATCTGATAATATTTAATTATTTTAATATATATACATTTTTATAATATTATATATATATATATATGTATTATATTATATATTATGCAACTAACACCCAACCTATTTATAATATGCACATTCCTTAAATACAATTTTTAGGTCACTTTATTCTCTTTAAATTTTGCAGGTCTGGATTGTCCCTCTGGACTTTTAAATGGTATGTTACTGTCCAATTTGTATTATTTTATGAAGCAGATTTTATAAAACCCTACCTGCCTACTTTTGATGTGGATGTGTAATGATGCCAAGCCATTAATGCTTTGAGAGCTGCATCATCCCACACATTACATGTTTTTTAAATATAAATTTAGTAGTACTGCAGATTACTTGCAAATCTGAGATCAAAGATATAGTAGTACATTGCATTAAATGTTGTTTTATCATTAAAGGGAAGGCCTATTGGTCATCAATGAAATTCTGAGACATTTACGTGCATTGCATGAAATGCTTTTTTATCGAGCCCTTAATTTTTTTTAAAAACTAATAATATACTTTCGAAAATACTTCATGAAATTATTATTATAATTACAATGGTTTTTTGTATAGAAAAGCTATACGTATGACAATTAATTCTCCCAATACCTATTAATTTTTAATATTTAAATTTCAGTGTCTACCTCAAACATTACTTGGCATATATCATATGTATGTAATATTATAAACATAATATGGTATTTAATACAATATATAATATAATATTACATATGTACATTCAGCCTTTTATATCATGTAGCAATCAGCCTTTTATTGGATATATACATTATTAATACATTCATACATATACATTCACTCTAACCTGTTAATATTTTCGTATATATACAAAAAATATTATTTAAGTTTTCATATGTACATTGCTTAAATATAAGTTTTTAGGTAAAGTTATTGTCATTATATTTTGCAGGTCTGGGGTGTCCATCTGGAATTTTGATTTCATTAAATGTATATAGGCCATAGATTCTGGAACCTTTAGAAGGTTGCCAATAATGTAATAGTTTTTTGGGTCTGTAATAATTAAGTAATTAGATAAAATTAGGGAATGCAGGTCTTCTCAGACATCCAACTAATCCAGGTATGAAACAACCATCCCTGACCAGTTCTCTTTTCATTATTTAAAGATATACTTATTCCATTAGATTTTATTTATTATATCATTAAATTAGAGGTGAATTATGTTTACTTGCAATTTAGAAATTAGGCTTTGAGATTACAAAATACAAATTATAAAATACAAAATAGAAATGGAATTAGTGGAATTTCAAATACAAACAAAAACTACAACTAAAACTGATTCCATACTACATAAGGTGATTGATATTACAATGTGTCATAATTAGCAATAAATCTAGAGAACATGTAACCCTGCTGTCATAACTTGTCAAGTTTCCATCCTAAGTGTCCTAAGTTTGAAGTCCCTTCGTGTAGTAGCCCTCATTTGGTCCCTCAGTTTGTCATATAGTAATATGCCTCTCTCAGCCGATCAATGAACACCTGCAAAAACAAATATAACACCATTTCGCATATAATTGTCATGTCGTTGTTATAACTTCTCATATTCTACGTCTTCGTGGCAAACGATAGCAAAAATCAACATCACACTTGCTGACTGAACAAAGCAGCCATTTCAGAGAGTTATAGGTAAGCAAAAATTAGAGTTTCAGACATAGTTTTTAACAGATATCCGTTCATAGTTTAAGCAAAAACATATGCTCCTCCATCCTTTAGTCGCACAGTCCGGTATTTATTAAGGTTCCTGCTTAATTTTAGTCTTCAACTTCTTGCTATTAGTAGAAAAGTCCCCCAGCAAGTTCCTTTTAAGTGATTCATCTTCTTCAAGTTCCAACCTTCCACGTTTACTCTGCGTTGGTGTGACACCATCTTCAGTTTCCTGATCCACATGATATATCTTTACCAAATTAGCTAAATTCTCTTTCTTTGTCAATGCCAAAACGTAAAAACTAAAAACAGTTACCATATCATACCTTTTCTAAATCAACAAAATCAACAGCTTTTGTGCGTGTTGTGCTTCCCCCAAAGTTGTTTCCAGTTGATCCAGTCTGCAAAGCATTGCTTTTCATTAGGATTCTAAATTGTAGGTTCAGAACTAAATGTACTATTTGTCTGTTTGTATACCTTCTCTACATCAGAGAGTTCATCAAGCCCTTTTTCCTTTGGCATTCATTCTTCATAAATTTTTAAAATATCTATGATGGATAGTCTACCCGGGGGTATATATCCGAAGGGTTACTACGGGGAGTAATTTAGAGAGAAGTCAGAGCAAGTAAGTAAGAGAGAGAGTGTATATTCGATATGTATTAAGCGTGTTATGGCTTTTCAGCGTGGTTACAAATGAGGAAATGGGGTGCTATTTATAGCAGCAATAAATGCCGGGCAGGGACACGTGTCAAGCGCTCATTGGCCGAGGGGTCACCTCAACTGGTTGGCGCTGGCAGCCGCATGTGGCCGCATTTAATGCGGCTGTTGGATGGGACGTCTGTGCAGAATACGGTGATCTGTACGCATGTGAGGCGGATATCTTGTCGAGTGAGATGCCTTCGGCTATAGAGCAGTAGCCGAGGGCTCTTCCTCCCGATGGCACCCCTGGTGCCGAGGGCTCACAGTGCCGAGGGCTGCTGTTTTCGTCGTTTTCTCCCAGTTTCTTAGTTTGCTTGAGAAACCCGTTCTGTGAGAATTTGGAGCCTTCGGCCAGGGGGCCGAAGGCACCCCTGTGCGTTGTGCGGACTGCTTGGTACTCCGGGCGCTGTGAATTGGGCCTGTTGGGCCTTTGCTGGAGTAGTAGGAGTCTGTGGGCCGGGGGTTCCCGGGCCATATACTCCATCAGGAGTCCCTCACTCCTTTTGCCGAAAGGTACTTGAGGGAAAAGGAGTAATTTGTGCTTGCCCTTTGATGTTGTCCCGTTGTGATCTCTGAAGTTGGTGAGGAGCTGTTGCTTTTATGTCCCTGCCGAAGGCGGTCCCTCAGTTACCCACATGTCGGGACTTGAGGGCTTGCTTTGTTGTTTGTTGGAATTTCACAGATTTTGTAATTTAATGATTTTCCCGAAGGGGTCCTCCAGTCCCCCACTCCTTGAGGCACTTGTAAAGTGGTGAAAAGGAGTAAAGTAGTTACGTTGCTGTTGTGGGCCGAAGGCTGACGCTTTTCGTTTCATTTTGGGGGGATGCCTCGTTAAAAACCTCATTAGGAAAAACCCTTTGGGAAAAAATCCTAATGAGGGAAAAAGAGTGCACCGAATTCCCCCAATGATGAATCGAAAATGTCCAACCTTGGTAAAAAATGGAGAATGACGGGAATCCCGAAGGCTCTCTCTTCTGAGGGCTCCTGTGTTGATTAGCCGAAGGCTGGCTGTTGATGTCCTGGTGGCGCCGAAGGGGAGCCCCTCAATCCAGGGATCGAGGGCCTGCCAGATGAGGGCAGCAGTGAAGCTGTTACCGGGGGGTCCACTGTATGTTGATGGAGTGGTGATTAAGATACCCGAGGGCCATGGGCCATCCGTCAATGAGGCATTCCCCGGGGGCTACCCTGATATGTAGCCCTAGGGATCTGAAGGAGTGATCCCGAAGGCGTGTGTAATGTGCGCTGTGGGGCACAACCCGGGGGGGGGGGGGGGGTACTTCTGGGTGAGTGCACCCGGAGGCTATCCTTGATGAAGTGGAGTGAAGTAGAAAACCCGGGGGTTCCCAAAATATAGCCGTTGAAATATAGCCGTTGGAATATGTAACGACAGGATGTAGCCGTTGGGGGGGTGGCACACGTGGCGTGTGAAGGCTGGTTGTCCGTGGGCGGCGTCACCGGTTGGGTGAAACGGCGGTGTGTAATGATGGCGTCCATCCGGAGGCCCGGTATCCAGGCCCAAGCCCGGATTCATCGCCTATAAATACCCCAAGGCCAGGCATTCCTCCGTGTGCGATAAACTTGTTAGCGAAGCTCTGTCAATTTTTCTAGAGAGAGAAGGTTCAGCCTTCGGTCAAAACTCAGCTTTCGAGGTCAGTGCTCCCTGCCTTTCTCCTTCTAGCATAGTTGTACTGTGCCCTTAGTTTAGGAGATAGAATTCACTAGGAACCTTAGTTCCCCCGAACCCTCGAGCTAGAGTGTAGAATGTCGTCCCAGAGTGACTCTCAGGACATCTCGAGGACGCCCTCGATGGAGGACGAAGGCATCTCCGACGTGGAGTCCAGCAGCAGTCAGCCCTCGGATGGTGGTGACGTAGCCCTCGCCACTGAGGTGCAGAAGGATCTGACGGCCGAGGCCGAGGCGGAGGAATTCGAGCGGACCGCGGAAGATGAGGAGTTAGCCCTCGCCGTCCAGGTTGCTGAGGAGGAAGAAGAAAAGGAGAGGGCGAAGGTCACTGTGGCCGTCCTTCCCCCTCGGGGTGCTGGTGAGGCCAGTACCTCCCCGCCGCTGAATGCAGTTCCCATCCGGGTGGCCCCCGGGAAGAAGAAGAGGAAGACGAAGGCTGGCCCCCAGAAGAAAGTAAGGGCCGTCGATCAAGGGGGGCCAGTAGATCTGCCGGAGGGTTACTCATTCTTGGACACCGCCGCTCTGGAGATAAAGTCCCAAGCTGACAGGGCGGATATCTACATCACCCAGTTGCACGTAGGGCCCTCGGCCGTAGTAGTCGAGCCGGGTCCTGATGACGTGCTGTCGCGGCCCCCCGAGGGATGTATAGCCGTGCACGTGCTCTCGGTCTCGATGGGCCTCCAATTCCCTCTCCATCCGTTCCTCCGGGAGTACTTGAGGTACACCGGCCTGGTTCCCTGCCAACTGACCCCCAATAGCCACTCGTACATAACTGGGTTCGTGAACCTGTGCAAACTCCGGGGGGTTACACCGAGCTTGGAGCTATTCTTCCAAAGCTTCAACCTATGCCGGGGGGGCCACACCAATGCCGAGGGCTATGCGAACTTACAGCAGATAGCCCAGTTCAAATTGTTCACCGAGGCCCCTTCTTCCAACAAGGGGTGGAGAGAGCGATGGTGCTACATCAGACTGGCCGACAGCCCTTTCCCGAGGGAGTTGCGGAATTGCTTCCGGCGTCATGTGAAGGTCAAGAGCGCCGCCCTCGAGAAGGATGGCCTGAAGATTGCCGAGATTCCGGAGGGGCGGGATAAGAACGTAACCATGAAGGAGTGCACCCTCGAGAAAGACCTGTATGCCCTCGGATTCCTGAGGTATCGGTTCATTGGGGAGACCGAGGAGAAGTATCCCCTCTATGATAAAGCCTTCGTGGGGGCGGGAGGTAGTGGCCGGGGGCTTTACATTTTTGTACTTTGAGATTTTCTGTCATGTTTGTTGTCGTGTCTCGAACCCCTCGGTGCTAACATTTTAACTTGTTGTTTCTTTGCAGGTAGCAGGATGAATGCCAACACTCTGTTCGCAAAGAGGAAGGGCAAGACCCAGTCCAAGGAGAAGGGGCCCTCGGGCCAGAAGCCAGTCGACGCGCTTTTCCCGAAGGTCATAGAACCTTCCGCCGGGGACTCCCATGCTGCTGTGGGGACCGGGGGGTCGAAGGCCGAGGCGGCCGCCAAGAAGAAGAGGGGCGACAAGGGGGTGGAGCCCCCCACCAAGAAACAGAAAGGCGCCGTGGGTGCTGTCGGGGCGGCGGCCCCCCTCGTAATTATTGATGACATGCCCGCTGTTGATGGGCCTCTAGCCTCGGTCTCTCCGAAGGATCCGGTGAATCCCCCCGGGAGGAATTACCCCGGGAGATCCGTCAGCTCTCCTTTGCCCCCGGCGCTTCGTTGATGCACGGCACTGCCGAGCCGAAGGCCTTCCTGCGGGGCATCACCTCGAAGATGGACAGGGAAGTCTTCGAGACCTACGATGACGATGCCCTCGAGAACAGGATCCTCCGCTCCTCGCTCACTGTAAGTATCCGCTTCCTTTTTCCTTATCTTGTCAGTGTAGTCTTATTTTTTTCCTGAGGAACAATCTAACTCCTTTGATAATTGTTCGCAGGCCTGCATAGCCCTCGGGGAACAGGCCCGGAGGCGCGAGGAAAGGCGTCTTCACGAGGCCGCCCAGGATAAGAAGGTGGAGGGGCTGATCCGTAAGAACTCCGAGGCGGTGAAGCATGCTGCCCAGCTGGAGGAGGCCCTTCGGGAGGCGAAGGCGGCGGCGAAGAAGGCCAAGGCTGATGGTATAGCCGAAGGCAAGGCAGAGGCCGAGAGGGCTGCTGCCGAGGCGGCGAAGAAAACCGCCGATGAAGCCCAAACTGCTAAGGAGAGAGCTGCGGCCGAGGCCCGAGGGGAGGCAGTTGCGGAGTTCCTTGCTGAGGGCTGGAGGGCCGAGGGCCATAAGGAGTGGGTTGCCTCCGTGGTGGCAGCCTCGGTGGACGCTTGGGTAGAAGGCCCCGGGGTTGACTGGCTGACCGATAGGGGCGACGCCTACTATCAGGGGGGTGAGTTCTTTACCCAGCACCTGATATACCGGAGGCTCGCCAGGCACTTCGGTGTATCCCTCGAACAATTTGACCCCTCGGTATACGGCCTCCCTCCGTTGCAACCAGATGTCAAAGTTCCCCTCCCCCCGGGTGAAGAGCGGCCAACAATCTATGATTCTGTGATGATGGGGGGTGACGGGGTTGGAGCCATCGGGGGTGATGCTGCCGGAGAAGAAGTCTCCTCCAAGGCTGTCGTGGAAGATGCCCCCGGTGACAACGGGGCTGAAGCTGCCGAGAAGATTATTACTTAGTTAATTTTTTTTTTAAAAAAGCCTTGTAATGAAACTTTTGTTGCCCCTCGGCTTTGGCCACACTCTGTAATGATCACATTGACTATTTTTGTGTTGTAATTGAATGATTGCCTTCGGGCTTGGTGTATATGATATGCTTCCTTCTGATCTTTTCATTGTTGAATGTATGCCTTCGTCTTTGTTTTGAATGTATGTCTTGTTCCTTTGAATGTATGTCTTAGGACTTAGAATACCATCTGATTGTAGCTAGCCCTTAGGAGCCTTCGGTAGTTGGGCACCCTCTGCTGGATATGCAACCGATGGTTCGGCAGCAATTAGGACTTAGAAATTTTTTTCTAAGTGTAGCACAGCATGAGGCCTTCGGCTACTGTGGAGCCCCACCTGTAATGTTGAATAGGCCGGGGGCTAAGTCTTTAGGACTTAGAAGATTTTCTTGAGTGTTTTTTCATTGTGTACCGTAGCCCTCGATTGATAGGTAGCCTTCGGGAGATGGCATCCCTTCATGGTGTATGAGTAGTTGACCGGGGGGGAAATATGTAGGACTTAGAAAATCTTCTAAGTGTAGAGTTTCCCTTGGTAGCCTTCGGGAGATGGCATCCCTTCATGGTGTATGAGTAGTTGACCGGGGGGGAAAATATGTAGGACTTAGAAAATCTTCTAAGTGTAAAATCCCCCCTTGGGAGCCTTCGGTAGATGGCATCTCTCCTTGATGTAAGAGTAGTTGACCGGGGGGGAAAATATGTAGGACTTAGAAAATCTTCTAAGTGTAAAATCCCCCCTTGGGAGCCTTCGGTAGATGGCATCTCTCCTTGATGTAAGAGTAGTTGACCGGGGGGGAAAATATGTAGGACTTAGAAAATCTTCTAAGTGTAAAATCCCCCCTTGGGAGCCTTCGGTAGATGGCATCTCTCCTTGATGTAAGAGTAGTTGACCGGGGGGGAAAATATGTAGGACTTAGAAAATCTTCTAAGTGTAAAATCCCCCCTTGGGAGCCTTCGGTAGATGGCATCTCTCCTTGATGTAAGAGTAGTTGACCGGGGGGGAAATACATGTAGGACTTAGAAAATATTCTAAGTGTGAATTTTCCCTTGGGTGCCTTCGGGTGATGGGTGCCCTCTGATTCCACATCACTTTGCGAGATGCCCGGGCGCTACTCATTTAGGACAGAATACCCTCTTTTTTTAAGTGTTGTTGTATTGCATGGCCTTCGGCCACCATATTCCCTTGGCTGTAATATTGATTGGGCCGGGGGCTCCACCTTTAGGACTTAGAATTTTTTCAAGTGCTGCTTCCCTGTGTAGCCTTCGGGTGCCCGGGGGCTGCTCCTTCAGGACTTAGAATTTTTTCTAAGCATAAATTGATGTTGAATCCTGTTGTTGTGAAGAAAGCCAATGAGGAGTGTGTGCCCTCGGCATACACTTTGAAAGTTGTAGAATTGGACCCTTGTCATGGGGAAAGGGCCCTCGGTATTTGCGCATAACAGATGCCTTCGGTGTTTGTTTGAAGTACCGTTTAGTGGACCTTGGACAGTCCAGTCCCTTTGTATTGTTGAAGCCTTCGATGTTTTTGTGACCGGAGGTGACCAGGTAGTGGACTTTAGCCGTTTCCTGATGATATTTCTTTGAGTAGTATCCTTCGGGAAACAGGAGTCTTCAATTACCGGAGGTGTTCCCGTGGGGAGCCCTCGGCATGCTGTGATATTGTTGGTGTGTACTCTTCGATTTCTCGCTGAGTCTACTCCCCTTCACCCCCCCCTTTTTTTTTTGGTTGGTGGTGAAGGGAAGGCATCAAGAAACTTGGTTTCTTGGTAAGGCTGGGCCTATTAGGAGACCTTCAGAATACACCAATGGCTCTCCTCCCTCGGGTTAACCTTCCGAGTGCCGAGGGGATCGAGGGACGTTTCCTGGGCACAAGATATGGTGGTCCGTAACCTGTCTCCCCTTGGGGGATGGCGCGGAAAGCGCCTCATTTTTGAAAGTCGTCCCCTCGGCGCTAGACATAGTCTGTGGCCTGCCACACCCTTGGGGTGGTGGCGCGGGGAGCGTTTCGGTTTGGAAGTCGAATCCTGGGCATTTCTCATGCCTGTCATACCCTGGGGGTAGTGACGCGGATAGCGTTCCGTTTTTGAAAGTCGAATCCTGGGCATTTCTCATGCCTGTCATACCCTGGGGGTAGTGACGCGGAAAGCGTTTCAAGGAAGGGTTTTCATTTGCACACTAGTTGCAAATGGCCGGGGGCACTACGTGCCGCCGGCACCGATGGTGGCGCCTTCGGTATATGCGTCCTCGTGGGGTACGGCTTTTAGAAACAACACTTGGTGTTAGTTTCGATGTGTAGCCCCCCGGTATTTGGTACCGAGGGGTCTTCTGTAGGAACACTTGGTGTTCTCTTGTTGTAGTTGATGTAGGCGTCTACCCTCGGTACTTGGTACTGAAGGGTCTTCAAATGAAACACTTGGTGTTTCCCAATAGACGTTTGGAAGCTGTTAGGAGAGCATATCCCTGGCACTGGGTGCCGAGGGGTCTTCTTTGAAACACCTGGTGTTTTTTCTTCGTTTCGATATTTGATGAGGGAGGTGTGCCCTCGGCACTGGGTGCCGAAGGGTCTTCTGTAGGAACACTTGGTGTTCTAATCTTTTCTTTTTTGATGTTGAAGGTGGGGAAGTACCCTCGGCACTGGGTGCCGAGGGGTCTTGACTGAAAACACGTGGTGTTTCTATTGTTTGTTGTAAGTGTTGATGGTGTCCGCCCTCGGCACTGGGTACCGGAGGGGGTTCTCCTTGTGGTGAGGCCTGGGGCCTGTAGTCAGTATGAGGGCTTGATGTCTTGAATGTATCTCCATTCTTCGAAATTGGAGGCCTTGGGCCATTGGATAGTACATTCACTAGTTATGAGGGCTTGGCCGCTCTTACATTATTGATAAAATTTAACTAAATGGTGTACATTCCAGTGCCTAGGGACCTCTTTCCCGTTGGGGCGTTTGAGTTTGTAAGTCCCGGGTTTGATGATGGCTGCTATGATGTAGGGGCCTTCGAATTTTGGTGCCATTTTTCCTCCCTCGGTTGGTTGGCTGGCTTCCCTCCTCCGGAGGACATAGTCCCCCACTTGAAATTCCCGGGTTCGAACTTTGGCGTCGATGTAGCTTTTAACTTGCCTTCGGTAGTTTTCTGCCCGGAAGAAGGCCTGCTCTCGGCGTTCTGAAATGAGGTGCAGGTCGAGGGCCATGTTGCTGTCGTTGACCTCGGGGTCATATTGGATCACCCTTCGGGTAGGAAGGGTGACTTCCGTAGGAGCTTTGGCTTCAAAACCGTAGCAGAGGGAGAAGGGTGTTTCACCTGTAGCGCGCCGAGGGGTAGTGCGGTAGGCCCAGATGATGTTGTGAAGTTCTTCCACCCAGCCACCACCCTCGGCCTCCAGCTTCTTTTTGAGGCCTTCGAGCAAGGTCCGGTTGGCGTTCTCTACCTGCCCGTTGCCTTGAGGGTAGGCAACGGAGGAGAAGGTGTGTTTGATGCCCCATGCCTCCAGAAGGGCGCAGAAGGGGGCTGCCTCAAATTGTGTTCCATTGTCGGAGATGATCTGCTGGGGGACGCCAAACCTTGTGAGGATGTTCTTGAGGACGAAGTGACGGCACTTCGCCTCTGTGATGCTGGCGAGGGGTTCAGCCTCCACCCACTTGGTAAAATAGTCGACGGCCATAATGATGTATCTGTTGTTGGAGGTACCCCTCGGCAGAGGGCCTACAAGGTCTATCCCCCATCGAGAAAATGGGACAGATGTGCTGATGGGGGCATAGTTGACCGCTGGCCTGCCGGGGGCTTTCTGGAAATGTTGACATGCGGTGCACCTTCGGGCGAGGTCAGCACAATCCCTGGCCATGGTTGGCCAGAAGTAGCCCTGGAGAATGAGCCTTCGGGACATGGAGAAGGGTCCCTGGTGAGCTGAGCAAGTGCCACTGTGCACTTCCTCCATTGCGACCTCGGCTTCATCTGGATGAAGGCACCGAAGTAGCGTGCCATTGTAAGATCGTTTGTAGAGCCTTCCATCTTCGATGGTGTAGCTGGGAGCCCTCAGCTTTGCCAGTTTAGCGCGGGCCTCATCCTCGGGTAGCTGCCCTGCGGAGATGAAGGCGGTGATATCCGAAATCCAATTCTCCTGACGTTGTTGTATGTTCATCACGGGGCTTGCATGGATGTTTGAGAGGCTGAGTTCCTCGATTTTGGCAATCTTGGAGATGTGCTCGGGGGAGTCTGCCGAGAGTTTAGATAATATGTCGGCTTCGGAGTTCTGAGCCCTCGGTATTTGAGTGAGAGTGTGTGCCTCAAATACCTTAAGCAACTCCTTGGCCGCTTCCTTGTATTGTTTCATTCTTCCTTCCTTGGCCTCATATTCTTCGGATATTTGGCCAACGACCAACTTGGAGTCGCATTTGATGTGGATCTGCCGAGCCCTCATGTTGGCAGCCAGCCGAAGGCCACATAGGAGGGCTTCATATTCAGCCTCATTGTTGGAGACTTTGAAGGAGAAGCGGATTGCATAGTAGGCCCTGAAGCCCTCGGGAGTAATGAGGACTACCCCTCCCCCGCATGCTTTGGTCGCGGATGAGCCGTCAGTGTAGAGGGTCCACCAGTCTTCCGAGGTAGCCGAGGGCTCCCCGTCCGTGGCTGCTCTTGCGGTACATTCCGTCACAAAGTCCGCTAGGGCTTGGCCCTTGATGGCAGGCCTTGGGCGGATGTCAATGTTGTACTGGCTCAAGAAGATAGCCCATTTCACCATGCGGGAGGAGCTGGTGGGGCTCCTCATGAGGGCGCCGAGGGGTTGATGGGTGAGGACCTGAACCGGGTGAGCCTGAAAGTAGTGGCCCAACTTCTTGACAGTCCAAACGATGGCTAACACCGTTTTTTCCACAGGGGAGTACCTGAGTTCGGCCTCCCTTAGGGTCTTGCTAACATAGAAGATGGCATGTTGGATGCCGTCTTCCTCCCGGATGAGCACAGAGCTGATGGCCGCCGGGCTAACCCCAAGGTAGAGGTAGAGGGTCTCCCCTACCTTGGGTTTGGAGAGCACAGGAGGTGAAGATAGATATCTTTTGAGCTCGTCGAAAGCCCCCTGGCATTCTGGAGTCCATAGAAAGCCAGCCGTCTTCCTCATGATCTGGAAGAAGGGTAGAGACTTCTCTGCCGATTTAGATAGGAAGCGGTTGAGGGCTGCCAGGCGGCCCGTCAACCGTTGAACTTCCTTCACGTTACGTGGGGGCTCCATGTTGATGATGGCCTGGATCTTCTCGGGATTGGCCTCAATACCCCTTCGGCTCACCATGTAGCCTAAGAATTTGCCCCCTTGGACGCCG